CGCACCACCAGCGCTCGGTGCACGCCTGCTCCTCAGGGGTGTAAATAGTCCGATCGCGTGTGTGCGCGTGTGTGTGCGCGCGTGAGCATGGTGCTTGCGAATGCCAGTGCCCTGCAGAAAGTGCGAAGCAACGCGAACTGTCGCGGACGCATGCACGTCCGCACACACACAAACACACGTCCGCCTATGCGATCGCGTCCGGACTGCTGTCCAGCGTAGCCAAAACACTGTGTGCAGGCGTGCGTGCACGTGTACATCCGCACCCCGTGCAGCCGCGTTGACTCGCATTCTAACACTCTTAGCCTCGCTGAATTATTTGTGTTCGTGTGTGTGTGGGAGTTGGCAGCCTGCCAGCGTTCTCTTGCCAAATTGACCTTGGGTGTGCACACTCGCATATACACAGGCGCGCATACGCACGCGTCAAAGTGGTGGTTACAACACGTGTAAGTAGCCTACGACCACAGATGCGTGGTTCCGGTTTTGCTTCCTGAGTTTGAGGCACAGTAAAGCATATTCACGAGGGGTGACACGATGTGATCACGAATTGTCAGATTCGGTGTAAAAAAACCCATGCCCAATTTAGTATGCTCCCTTCATCTATGCATCGCTAAGACAAGTTGAGCTGGAAAATGCAACTCTCGAATAAATAAATGGAGGCAGGTAGCTTCAGCAGATGTAGTTATCTTTGTTTTTACTGTGGATTAAAGTAGATTGCATGTGTAGCCACTGAATAAACCTCGGTATTTAGTTCATGCTGCGATGTGAATGAATGGACAATGGAAATGGACGCCTAACTTAGCTACGCCAAAAAAACCAAATTGCTGTACGTTCCTGGGAGCGAACATTCGTCAAATTGGGTAAATAGCACAATTTTCGTTGAGACATTATGAATCTCATTTTGACAAAACAGATGTGAAGCAAATCCCCTCGGCATTCAGAATTACGAAAATGTATTGAACAACCCATGGGAAAGACCAGTAAGGATGACTAAATTTCAGTGTTATAGATCTCATGGCGATGGAGCGTGCACTTTAAGTCATAATTTTCAGCAATGAATTATCCCCCACCGAAAGGTGACGTTAGTAACACCCTTGAAATGTCGCCCTTGGAATACGCATTCAATGCAAGTAGATCAAGTCTTTCATGACAAGGCATAGGAGTGTAAGTAGAAAACACGTGACGACAATTTTGCATTGAAGCGGCCTATTTTCCGAATACTTTCCATTAAAATACAAAGCATATACTATTGGTCACTGAAATTTCAAATGCGGCAACCATTGTTGGAATGCTATGCCGCTCCAATTATTCATTTGTACTGGGATACGCATGAGTTTTCATCTCCGAGGTGGCTGATCACGGGCCTTCTTAACGATGAAGGATAGGGCGATTGTACTGCATATCTCGGCAGTCATTATCACCGTCAGGAGCGCCACAACTGTCGACAGTTGGCACATGGTCCACTCTTTACTGTCACTCAGGCCCTTCAGCAGGGACAATTCTCTATCCTCTTTATTCCATGCAATTCTTTAGGTGTCCAACTGGATGGAAAGATCATCAACACGAGGGGTTCGATTGTAAGTTTCCCATCTCAAATACTTCAAATCAGATAAATAGTTTTCCATTTTTACTGCATATATTTTAGTGACAGAGGAGGTTTTGACATTAAGGAACACTAAGTTTAAAGCCACCTATCGTTTGGCGTTTCCGTGACTTCAAGCACAATCGTTCATTTTACGTAAAATATTTATTAACATCTTTAAGTTACTGTAATATTTTCACACCGCTTTAATTTTCAAAGCATGTTGTAGAACGGGCTGAAGGATCGTCCTTTGTTTAACATTCAATATTCTTTTAATCAAGTCATAATGACTCTTCGCACTTTGTTTACGTACCAAAACATTATCGCATTCTGCAGCCCCACAACCGTCCCTGCCGCTATGAACGCACACACACCAAGGTGAGAAATGGAGGCAGAAAATGTCGCAAATCTCTTGGCGCTCAGCCAATGCGTGCACCCTGAGGGTTGCGTAATGCGTACGTTGGCGGCGTCACCACCACCCACATCAGCAGCAGCAGCAACAACACCAAGACCATCGTCATCATCATCATCATCGGCCCTGGAACGTGTGCGCATGCATGGACACTCGTGCGGATGAATGAGTGGGTGCGCACGCTAGTCTGTCTGTCTATCTCGCCTTCGTTCCTTCTTTCTCTCTCGCTCTCTCCATTCCTCCCTCCCCTCCTCCCTTGCCCCCTCTTCGCTGCTTTTCTTGCTCCGTTCCTGCCTCCTGCTAGCGCTTGTGCTACCCTGATGTGGATGGAGATGCGTGTGTGTGTGTGTTTGTCAGTTTTTTCATTTCCCCCTTTCTCTTCTTCCTCTTGTTCTCCGTCTCCTTTCTCGAAAACACTTCAAGACGTACGTTTGCGCGCATTCACGACCGTTAGAGACGAAATGAATCACTTGTATGACCAATTAGCGACGCTTACTGCTGTGGCAGGCAGATGGGAATCTAAAACCTCTTTACTATGACTTGAAGTGATTCCTAAGGCATAAGGAAGACAGAACTTTAGGGGTTATTGTAAAAAATAGGTATGATTATAGCCAAAGTGTAGAAGGAATGGTAAAGTATACGATTAAACTTCAGGTCGTGTTATCGTAAGAAACAGCCAAATGGATGGAGCTGAAGTGAAACTAGAATCTTATTGGAAACTTTGCGCAGACCCAATTCTCTTCAGCAACGATGTAATCGCTTTGGCGTTCCTCAATAATTTGGCAGACGGAACTTGATGTTCGCCTTACCCATGTGCGAAAAGAAGACCACATTCGAGGTGTTGCTGTAGTCGACTACCATTTTGTTGTTGTTACTACTATTATTGTGACAGGTGGAAAGGTGATTAGAACTGTTATTTAAGCTACTCCCAGTCGAAAATAATCATGGAGTAGTGGGTACTGAAAGGTGTCGTTTAGTAAATCTTAGCATGGGCGCTGTTTGTCCATTTCTAAGTAGTTGTTGTGTGTCTGGCTGTGTCCACACATAAGGGAAATACTTCTAAATTATTTTTCAATCAGTCACATTTACCCTGTCAACAAATCAGTACTGCTGGCAAGCCTGAACGGACAGCTTTAGATGAGAAATTGGTCAACGCATTAAGTGCCAATGCTGAAGCATCATAAAATGTGCTAAATACAATCGAAATTCTTGCTGATGGTCAGCAATACAGATTGACCACCACTTTGACCATGGCGTTGACAAACTCTACTCTTTATGTTCGTTAGACTCCAAAGACTTCAATCCCCTCTC